GTTCGACAAGTTCTTCGAGCGTCAGATGGAGTTCATCGAAGAGTCGGTCAAAGTGTTCCGCAAGAGTGAGCAGAAGAAGAGGAAGTTTCACAACTGGAACCAAAAGCAACACAAACGCAATGAACGCCAAGAAGTCAGGGATTACTTCGCCTACGACTACGACAACAAACACAAGATCTCAGACAATGACTATCACTGCGATTACAGCGGAAACACTAACACCACTCACACCATCGCCGCCACCCCTCACACCCCCAACACCTCTCACACCCCTCACAGGCATCACAGGACCCGTCACTGCGAGACCAAAGCCAAGGCCGACACCAAAGCTAAGGGTGCGGACCGATGGCACCGATTCACTGACTCTCACCGCAAATGTGATACTAATCCCAATTACTACTACTGATCACAAACTCATCCAAAGACTCGCTCTTTGTGTTCAACTTTTTTCTATGTTTTGTCTATACTTTTGGTTTAAATTGTTTTCAATTTCTTGTATTTTATTCTTAATATTAGAGATATTTTTATGGATTTTATATATATTTTATTTAATATATTTAACATTGAATTTAAGTTATATTTTGTAAAAACAATACACTATTTATTTGTACTTTTAGTTTGAATTTAAATAAACTAAAACTTAAAATATACAAAACTTCACTAAAATTGAATACAAATTTTTAAAGCATTCAAAGAGAGCGCCAATGAGTGAGTGATGAGAGAGTGAGTGGAGAGATGTCTCTGGAGTTGTGTTGCACTCAAACTGTCGTCACATTTGTGTTTGAAATGCATTTCCTTTTCCTTTGAATGCTTTTCAGTGAAAACAATTGAAACCATCGATAATGAAGTGAGTATTGGATCCGTTGGCCATCGATGGCCACACATTGACCACAATTAACTGAACCATTGTGTCCAATAGGATCGAGGCGTGTTCATTCAGTGGGTACAAGATCTACCCTGGTCACGGCAAACGCATCGTTAAGGCCGATGGCAAGGTATGGCTCACGTCAACACTCAGCATGTGTTGATCACCGCAATTGATCCCATTGTGGACTCCTATTAATATGTGTATTGTTTGTGGATTAGGTGTACATCTTCTTGAACGCGAAGGCAGAGGCGGCGCATCTGATGCGTCGAAACCCCCGTAAGATCACGTGGACTGTCCTCTACCGACGCAAACACCGCAAAGGTATCGAAGAGGAGCTCCAGAAGAAGCGCACGCGAAGAACCACTAAATTCCAGAGGGCTATCGTCGGCGCCAGTCTTAACGACATTCTCGCCAAACGTAATATGAAGCCAGAGGTCAGGAAAGCCCAGAGAGAACAGGCGATTAGGTATGTGTTGCGTGTCTGCGGCGGTGGTGGCCCTCACGAGTGGCACCGTTTTGACCGCTATTTGATTGGTGTTATTAATTAGGTTTTATTTATTTATTAATTTTGTTTTTTTGCTGTTATTAGAGCTGCGAAAGAGAAACAGAGGGCAGCGAAGACCCAGAAGAAGGCATCGTTACCTCCCGCGAAGGTTTGCGTCGATTTTCTTTTTACTTTTATTTGAATTGCATTTAAAACTCAAATTTGTTTTAATTTTGAATGCATTTATGTGTCATTTGTTTTGTTTTAAACTGTTTTAAAATGAAGGGTTATTTGAATGATATTTTACCTATGATTTGATCCGTCTTAGGCTGGAAAGGCAAAGGCGGCCCAAAAAGCAGCCAAACCTATGATGACGAAAGCGCCCAGAGTTGGAGGAAAGAGATAATCGAGACATTCGCCTGTTTTTCTCTTTTTAACAAATTTGTCGCTAAATTTTGTCAAAGATTTCAAATAAATTAAATAAAAGAATTGATTGTTTGATTCATTTCATTGAAATTACGCTATTGTTTAATACTGTAGAGTATTTGACGTTTGGTTTTCACCGCAATTAATATCCAACAAAACATTTAAGTGTTCAATGATCTCATCGTTGAGTCTCTCTATCGATTGCATGCCATTTATTGAGAGATTTATTAATCTGATATGTAATTCAAGGGCACAACTAGTCTATAGAGTGACTGTTTTTTGGTCTTCTCTCTGTCCATAATTTTTTGATAACAAGTTTTGTTTATTCATTACTCGTATTTAAGTCTCCATTTATTCAATCAATTGGTTGTTGGGATCGCTGTTTCACTGACGAGCTATAGTTTCCTGTGGTTGTAATTAATAATTATTTTATTGATTCGTAAGCATTACGAGTGAGAAATGAGTCAAAAAGTTGGTATCGTTGGCAGGTATTGACCACTAAATGGCAAAACATTTTTAATTATAATTTATAGCTTTAATTGTGTGTCAATTTGACACTTAATGGTCTGTTTTTACCCTTTCAATGATGTGATCTGTGGTGACCAGTGGTCTGATAGGGCAGAGTTGGGCCATGATATTCGCCGCATCCGAGTATACGGTCTCCTTATATGACGTGATCGGCGAGAATGTGGACAAAGCTTTGGTATCAATCGAGAGTCAGTTGAAGAACTTGGAGGCCAAGGGCTTACTTCGCGGTCAAATCAGTGCCAAACAACAGTTCGCTCTAATAAGCAAAGCAAACACTTTGAAAGACTGTCTCCACAACGCTATTCACGTTCAGGTAATTTATAAATGCACTCAATTTGTTAAGTGATTACTTAATTTTATGGCTATATTTTGTTATTTCCGCACCAAAAACAACAAAAATTAAAATTCATTTACTTTTATACTATAATGGGTTTAATTAATTGATACAAATTAGCGTTGGTTTCATTAAACCCTTATTTAATGGCATAAATTGCTGTGAAATCTATTACATCCTCTATTTCTTTAATCCAATTGTTGCATAACTAGTGTATGAATTGAAGAAAATGAATGCAAACATAGCGTTGAAAATAAAAAATAAAGTTTTTTGACTTAAATCCCAGTCCATTAGGAATTCATACAATTAAATCGATTGTTTGCCCAATCATTCGGAATGTGTTTACATGTAGTGAAGAGTGCATTAGTTTTGGGCACAGAGACCCCAAACAAACTTAATTTTACTAATATATTGATATTATAAATATTAATTTGATTTAAACATAAAATTTATTTAGATATTCTAATGTCAAAAATCTTTATCGTAATTAATTTTGTTGATAAAACTTACACTTCACTCACACTGTATAAACATTATTTAAATCCTTCAAAAATACATGAAATCATTCAAAAATAAAATAAATTTTATTATCATATTTTATAATAACTGTTATAACATAATCAGTATAATTAGGTTCATAAACCATTTTGCCATTGAATTTTGTTTCATTCATTAACTTATTTAATTCACTGCATTTTTTTCAACACCAAATCAGTTAATCAATAATGTGTTGAACTTTTTTTCTAATGTAACGCAGACTTAATGTAAATACAAATCGTTAAAATTAAACCAAGTTTTGTTAGTTTATAGACTAAAATAACCATTTATTTAACTATCATTTTAGATGATCCTGGGGCACAATTAATCCAATTAAGTTAGTTTTAATTATTTTATTGATCTCTTGAAAGTTTTGTTTATTGAATGTTTACACATTACACTATTTGTACCTTGTTACATTAACGTCAATAAAACTAATTTTGTTTGTTTCTGAAAATATAATAAAATAGTAAAAGAGAAATGAATGAAAACTAATTGTTTTGCACACTTGTGGGACAGGAATGTGTGTTCGAAGACTTGGAGCTGAAGAGGAAAGTGTTCAAAGAGTTGGACGAAATAGCATCGGATGACGTGGTTCTGTGCAGTTCGACGAGTTGTATACTGCCCTCACTATTCCAGTCCGATCTCAAACACCGTCGACAGGCCATCGTTGGCCATCCGGTGAACCCGCCCTATACTATACCATTGGTCGAAGTCGTGCCCAACAAATACACCGACGAAGAGGTGGTTAAGAGGACTCGAGCTCTGTTCACAGCCGTCGGTCAGAAGCCGGTGGTGTTGAAGAAGGAGGTGAACGGCTTTATAGGCAATCGCATACAGTATGCGATTCTCAGCGAAACCTATCGTCTGATCGAAGAGGAAGTGATTAGTGTTGAGGATGTGGACACTGTTATGGCCGACGGGTTTGGCTTGAGATGGGCATTGATGGGCCCGTGGGAGACCGCACACCTGAACGCCCAAGGTATTTATAACCATATTGTTTTACTAGATTTCACTCATTTATGATTTATTGATCATTTAATAGGAATGAAAGAGTACTTTGAGAAATACGCGAAGAGTATGAACAGTGTTTGTCAAGACTTCGGAGCCGTTCCCTCGTTTGAGGGCAAAGGCGCTGACATTATAACAAAGGAAATGCATAAACGAATTCCTGTCGAAGATTTGCCACAAAGAAGGCGTTGGAGAGACGAAAGACTCATTGCTTTGACACAATTGAAGAAGAAATTGGATCCATAAATGAGTTCTTCATTAATAACATTATTTCAATTGTCTTAATCTATTTGTTAAGAAACTTTTGTAATTAATGTTATTTTAAGAAATTTTAATAAACACTGAAAATAAGTCTAATGTTTTGAATTTAATTATTTACTAATTAGTAATTACTTTAATTAACTAATCATTAAAAAAAATAATTTCTATCTAATGCTTAATAAATTTAAGAAAACATATTACTTAATCACTAAAAAATATGGATTAAATGCATATTAATTTTAATTCACAATTCTAAAGCAATTCTATTAATATTTTTAAAATATTTTATAAGGAATTGTAGACATTTAAAAATAGACATTAAATATATAATAATGTTTTGCTACTTATTTATCAAATGATAATTATGTAAAAAATAAAAATAAAACCGGATTAAAATTTAGATTTTGACAAATAATTTTTATGAAGGAAACATATTCTTAATCTTATAGTGAGTGTAGTAACAAATATTATGCCATTATTTACTGTTATAAATAAAAGGAAAAAAGCATTTAGTTTTTGAATATTTTAAAGCAAATTGAATGTATTTTTGTATGAATTTAGGAAATTTGCAATTACAATAAAATTGTTATAAACTATGGACTAAATCTTTATTATATTATAATTTGACGCTAAAAATGTATAAAAATACAAACATTTTATACAAACATTGCATAAAATAAAAACACGAAAAATATTTATAAAAACAATTATATGAATGAAGAAATGTTTGGATGAGATTTTAAAAATTTTGGTTGCATTCGTAGCGTCAATACAATTGTCTTTAATGTCCAGCTCTTCCATACAAATGAGTGGTATTCTTGAGACCACTTTCTTCGTCCGAAAACATATTGGAAACGATACCAAACAATTGGGAGACACTCTCGATGTGGTACTCGTTGGAGACATACACTCCCAGCACAACACCGATCACTAGTGCCAAACAAAATAGGATTGTGTCCCCAATTAGACCCATGTCTTCGACCAATCAATTCAGTGATGTTTCACTTTTTAGTGATTCAATTGCAATTTATTTAGCGATTTATTTGAAAAATTGTTTAGTTTCTGATTATAAAACGTTAACTAAATTAAAATAAAATACTGAGCGAGAGATGAACGCGAGAGCAACTGTTTAAACCTAATTTACATTTATTACTACTCTATAAACTTTACTATATTTGCAAATAACATGTCAAATGCCTGTCAAATTAATACCTATTGACCTATCAATATATATATGAAATGACTATAACAAATATTATATTGTTAAATATTAATAATATTATTATTATATAATATAAAACTATATGATTATGGTAATAAAGTATCACTTTTTGCGAATTCATACATGTATAACACCACATATTCATTACTAATTTACTATAAATAATGTAGTACTTATATGAATTAGCAAAAAGTGCTACTTTATTACCATAATCATATAGTTTTATATTAAAGTTTATATTAGTGTATATACTTTAATGATACTGATGGTGAAACTTTCGTCTATTGTGTGCATAATTGATGTGCATTGGAAAAAAACTATAATTGTTTACACTTTTATTTGTTGTTCATTTTGGATAAATTTTGTGTACATTTTTTCATCATTTAAAATTTAATTGATTTCATTTTAAATGTATTTTACGTGAAAACATATAAAAACGCATAGGGACAAAAAGTGTGTATATGGTGTATACTAAGAGTGTGCTGAACAACTATGACTCTATGTAAAGTGATGCAAGTTTACATAGTAAAACTGTCTGGTGAGCACATTCTAGGTGTAGAGTATATGGTGTATACTGTATGCGTGCGCCGAACAGAATTGAAAGTAAGGAATCCTTACTAAGGATAATGAGACTCTCATGACATGACTGATTCCTTTCATTGCATTTCATGCCAATTGAATAAGTGTTTCGCCAATAGATTGTATAACAAAGTCAACATCATTTGCTTATTGTGTGCATTTCAGTCTTAGATATCTTATATTTATTGTGATTTTACGAACCACTGAATGTGAAATTGGTTTGAAATCATTTTATGACCAAAATATTTAGAATCTTTTACATTATGTTAAAAACATGTTTCTTAACATTTTTCAAGTGAATATTTGTATTTATTGAATAATATTCTGGTTTTTCAATGCTTTCAAGAATTTGCATATTTTTTATTCGTGTTTATTGTTGTATTAAAAACGATTACAATAAAAGTATATGAAAGCTCTAAATCAGTTTATAAATACAATGTAAGTACAATACAGACTGATATACTTTTTAAAAGTCTGCAATCATTATATTTATTCGCATATATGGTTTTTCTATGAATTTTACAGAAAGTAGTTTTGAAAATAAACTGAAAGATGAAAAATCATATTACTTGTATAAAAACATATTGTTAACAATATTAATGCAAATTATATACTAAATATAATATGTATACATTATAGTTATGTAAATAATGATCATTATAATAGTATACATTTTAAATTAAATGACAATAATGTCGTTTTTGAAGTTTTTAAAGATACATGTTTTATTAATTTTTCCTCAATAATTAATAACACATTACTTATAATAAAATTTTAATTATTCAAACCAAACATCCGTTTATTTGAAGTTTACTACAAACAAAATTTCCGTTTCATTATATCATAGGTTTAGATATCGTTTGCCGTTTGAAAAAATGATTATTTTATTTCTAATCGTTTT